ATGTTCAATTGATCTAAGTGGAAGATCCCCTGAGCCCCTGCTTTCAGTGGGTTTCCTTACCGCTGCAACAACGCAAATATGTGGGTTCAGCTGTTTTGTCTGGTATATAAGATAAGGAAAGTATTTATCTTCTGGAGTTTTAAATCATCATCCAAAGAATTCACTACAAAATTATTTCAAGATTACCGTTTTTATAGATGATACAGGCTACCAAAAAGGACTACTACAAAAGCAGAGTACAAATACATCTGTCAATGGTATCTTGCCACAGGATATTACAAGGGTATTTGATGTTTCGAGGCAATTCCTTTTAAAAGATTACAGCCAATCCTATTTTAGAATATTATATATGCATGTATAAGCTTTAAAGTGATCCATAAAGAGCAAACATATAAACTAAATAAAAAAAAAAATCACAATTACTTTTGGGAACATCTCCACAAATAAAAGATACAGAAGATAAACGAAGCCCAAGCTGCTCGTTACCAGAGAAAAATCACACAGAACAACCAGAAGAGAAAAAAAGCCCAGCCAAATTTCCTACAAGAGGCAGGAATTCTAGACAAGAATTCAATCTGAAATGGACATCAAAGGCCCTAACCTAGCAACTGGCTTCAGGTGCCTATGTCCCAAAGAGGAGCAGAACTTTTTCATAGTATTTAATGAAGCAAATGAATGCTCAGATGTAAAAGGAACATGATGGATCCAAAACATGCCTCCATACCTTAAGAACAAGCTATAACACACCTGCACGGCTGAAACACTGTCTCAGTTTAGACCTGCCAACCTTTTCATTTTGGGTGGCAGATTATTAGTTTTTACCATATTCCACAGTTTGGAGGCTATTTCTCAAGCAGCTGACACTTGGGCAAATTGCTGGTGTAAAAGGAGAGGTCATTAGTGCAAAGGCAATGCCACTGAGCCACAGCCCTGTACCCGGGACTCAACATGCACACAGCACAACTGTTGCACACAGGTTACCACGTTCGGTACCTGCTGCTGCCAGTGGCCGTGCCACCTCTGCAGGCAAGAGGTGGCTGAAAAGAAAACTGTTTTGTCATTCAGGAGCTATAACTTGCTTCCGGAAGACATAGATCACCTCGGACCAATGAAGGAGACTTGGCTCCTCCACACTGCATCTGTTGGTGGCTGCTTTAGGAACTACAACCGAACAGAAAGACAACATATTAAGAGATGACACAGGTCTGTACAGGGTCTTCCAGGGCTGGTGAAGACGACAGGGCTGCTCAGCTCGGTTTTCAGCCCAGCTCCTCCTTGGCTTCCCCCAAGCCACTCCTGCTCACTTTATACATACAATAAATCACTATACTAATTACAGGAGACTTTTTCCCAAAGAAAGGATGCATATACACAGGTTACTGTGCAATAATGTAGCATACTGTTCTTTTTATAAATATAGGAACTATTAGGGTAGCCTTAAAATATTTTAAGTTGTACGTAAAATGTCAGCAAGAGCTATGTACACAGACCAGCTAACCTGTACTTGAGCTTTTATTGTACTGAAGTTTGCAGTTAAAGTGTGCCTGGTCTTGGTAATTAACACAATGTTTTATTAAAGGGATTCCAACTATTCAGTCAAGAACGTCACGTAGCATTTAACCACTTACGCTTCAAAGAAACTCCTGACTGAAATAGGTAAGTATTAGAATTCTCTAAAGGATATTGAGTTTCCCTAAAATGTCTAAGTAAATGTACAGAAATTACACACAACTGACCCATGGACATCTGCAAGGAGTCCAGAATCTTAATTCTTCCTCCACCTTTAAGACTCTCATTGAAAGAGAAGATACCCACTTAAATACAACTTTTACAGTTGAAAACACCTCTTACAGGAGTTTAGAAAATGACTCTGTTGTGTGCCATTGGCCTAGAAAGCTATTTCCGAATTTTTTCCTTCCTCCAACATATTACAGCTCTGTATTCATTGAACGCATGGTCACTGATGCTTTATGATGTTCCAGGAGAGGAGACATTTATATAGAAATACTGCTACAACTTCACACAATCAAGCCGGAGAAAGGAAGGCGCCGTTTCTAGCAGCAAAATGCAGTATTTGACCACAGCAATTATGAGGTAGGGACAGCTAAAAACTGACATCCTGTTAAAATGTGCACACACATAGGGAGGGACAGAAAGTTAATTCTTTTGAAATATATCCTAGCAATTAAGATCAGCCAATGACCTTTGCCAAAGCTACAAGAACATGTACTTCTAGAGAGCCAATACTTGAAGAAAAGGTTTTATAAGGTAGGGGTTGGGCGTTTTGGGTTCTTTTTGTGGGCTCGGGGAGGGGGGGGTCTGAAGGGTTTTCTTGCTTTTTGTTGTTGGGGTTTTTTTAGGTAGAAATGTAATTTCACCTTGTAGTCATCAGTTTAGTAATCTTTATCTTGATGATTTGTCAGTTGTTGACCTGGGCTACAGTTAATCCACAAGCAACTGCTAACACTTACTAATTGCTTTTCATAAGACAAACTTTTAAAATCCTTTAATAAATAAAGATTGATTCAGCCTTTCATTATGCCTAGATGTGGACTTAATGCATACTTTACAAATGGGAATTTGCAAAACTAAAAAAATTTTTTAAAAAATTAAAAATCCCAGTATGATAATAGCAAAGAAAAGGACAAGATCTTCTTCTGTTTCTGTGAATGAAGTAAGACTCTCAAGGCTGGAGATGAGGATTTTTAAAGATAATCTTGTACTAACACTATAGTATGCTAAGTAATTGATGAGGTAATACGGGCAAAGAAACTGACCTTTCTTTAATCATTTTAAGAGCAACGCAGGATCTCCTTGTGTAGATATCTAGCATGGGTATGTGTGTTTCACAAAAAAATTCTGATCAGAATTGAACAAGGGAAGATAAGGCACCTAAAGAAAGACTGATGTTAACATTGAAAGCCAGGGCTTCCCAGCTATTAACCTCAGTCACTTCCACCTACTTTTAAAGGCAAAAAATTGTCGCAACATTAGTTGAAAGTCTACAATATTGTTTGCACTTACAAATTATAATCTTAGCTCCATAGTGGAGAATTGAGGAAATACTGTTATTTGATTTAAATAACAAAACAAAACACCAAAACCCCCACGATACTATCAGAGTCTGTGGTATTTCAGTTACCATTCTCAAAGACGACAATAAAAAAAGAATGTCAGATTCCAAAAAAGACAGACAAAAATGGCATAGAGGAATAAAAGCAAGTAATTTATTTAATCAGTCCCCTTGACTCTCTTTTGGTATTAAAAATTCCTTTGATATAATCAGAATAATCAAATATAGTGTGCAACCACAGTTGAGAGAGATGTATTCATCTCAACTGGACAGCATGTGAATATAAGACATACATGTACTATTTTTGCCTATACGGCTTGTAAAGGAGCAAATGGCAAGACTTATGAATCATACTAGAAGGAAAGTTAGCTAGCAAAAAAGAAGTAATTTAGATGACCTATAATTATTTTAACTTTGAAGTATAAATTTGTTTTTCTTCTTGAAGTTACATGAATTTGCCTTGCTTTGTTCATAGTGTTGACAAATTGATTTTTCATCTTGTTTTCTCTGTCATTACTATAATTCCATCTAGTCTTTTTAAAATACTATGTTTGAGAAACACTCCCGATTAGGATTAAAGAATGTTAGTGAACAAGTGTCTTTTCTTGTTCAAATCAGAAATGACTGCGCTTTCAATTTTAAAATGATAATGAAAAAACCCCCAAACTTGCTTGAGAGCTAACAATCAAAAGTAATTCTTTGGGAAGATTCATCCTTTAGGAGAGCCTACTTCATCTGAAGTTATTTCAGATTTATTTTTGGTGATCGTGAGAAAGAATTGCATGCAGCCCCTGTGTTACGTCTGCATTCAAATTAACCATCAATTTCACAGTTGGACACGTCCCTGAAAACTTCTAATGTGGTACTTAAAGTGCTGTCTTCTTCCTTTTATCAGAGCAGCACCTAGTATTTTAAGCCAGAGAACACAGTTCCTTCATTTTCAGAACAGACATGTAATAAAGCTGTACCCTTTGATTATTCCCCAGTGCAATTCCTTTAGTTTCCCAGAGCTTTAACTATAATGCAGATAGTCCTGAGATTAAATGTATGTGCTTGCACAATCTTTACTGGTTCATTTAAGTCTTCCTTCAAAGCATTTTAAATTTTTCAAAGGCCAACACCAATCCAATTGGCTGCTTAAAATGCAGCCTATTACAAAAGCAAAGCTATAAGCTCCTGACAAAAACATTCAGCCTTTCATACTAATCACAGATAAAGTGGATTTGGCAAAAGATAATTAGAGACGTCTAGAAGACTTCTGTATTCTGATGAAATTTGAATGCTTTCTCCAATATGACTTAAATATTTAATACCAAGTAAAATCATAATACAGTGGTGAGACACGTATGCTTAAAGAAAAAAAATATTACTTTGGAAAAAATCAAAAATAAGATTGGTTTCAGTGAACTGAACTGCAGTAGGAAGTTGTTCATGACACCAGAAAGCAGGAAGCATATGTTTAGTTAATCATCAGACCAGTAGAAGAATGAATTAAGAAGTGCTAACAAATCCATATATATGCACTTTTAAAACATAATCTCTATCTACTTGTAAAGTAGTAATTTGTACCCAACCAGAGAATATCATGCAGGACAACTTATTTGGAATAAACAGTTCTCCCAGCACCCTGTTTTCATATAACAAAGAAAAAAATAGGAAGTAAATTCAACTGCAAAATAAATGAGACATCAAAGCACACTGCTCTAAATAACATTCTTTAAGTGTCATATCTTGGCCCATATCCCAGGATACCCTTGGAAGTGACACATTGCATTTCAATGGAATTCTTTCAACAAAATACTTTAATAAATAAATTCAGGTTTTAGTCTAACTTACATAATTAAATAAAGCTCTGTGGGCATTATGTACAACAGATGTCACAGCCTGATGGGCTTTTGTTCCAATTCCTAATTATTTGTGAAACTGCTGTTTATGAAGGCTATCCCATAATATGACCAATAAATAATCCATCTAAAAGGCATAAGTATGACTCCACTCTGAAATAGCAAAAATGCATGTTTTAAAAACAATATCAGGTTTCAAGGACAGTTCACAAAATAAAAAGCTCAAGTGTTCTGCCCTAGCTAAAGTAAAGGACAAACCAGCGTCTTTGGTTCTTACCTACCAGAACCCAAATATGAAGTGCATAACACAATCTTTTGCTAGGTATAAATGTATAGTCTCACCACCATTAGTAAGAAACAGACTAAAGTAAGTTGTCACAATTTACCTAATTTCCCCATTTTGAGAATAATGGTTTCAATAGTTTCCTCTTTTCCAAGTGATATTTTCAGATAAAATTCTAAAAATATAGGCACTGAGATTATAGAACACTTCCTAGCTTTCATAAGGTTATTTTCACCAATCCCAAATGCAGGCCAACATTATGCTATTGTCTCTAGACCATGTAAAAACTTTGGCACTCTTCAAACAGAACAGGTTTAATTCAAAATCACCTGGAAGCAGAGAGAAGACTCTTCTTGATTTCAGTGACTAGAAGAGAATAAAAATACCCACTTATTTTGCATATTATTGTAAATACTAAAATATTAAATTCCTAAAGTTGTAAAAACAAGACACCTCTAGTCTGGCTACCAGAAACCTGTATTTAGAAATATATGACTAATCAGCCAAAACGCCTGTGTACCTGCTTAGTTTTAAGAATTTTCATGGATTCTGTTCTTAAAATTAGGCAAACATTTAAATCTCCAATAAAGCAATGTCCTCATAAAGATTTTATTGCCATTTTACCCTATTTCAGTGATACAGCAGAGAAGAGTTTATATGCTATATGGTGCTTTCATATCACATCTTTAAAAATCACAGAATCATAGAAAGGTGAAATGCGAATCTGAAAATTTGGGGTTTGATTTTATCTTTTTCTTTTGTAACTTTACAGCACCCAATACATTTATTTTTGCCTTGTTGCTATGATTTTATTTAGATTGGATCCTAAGGTAACAATGTAAGACAACATCTTAAAAGACAGTAAATACGCCTGCAGAATTCCTGGCACATAGCAGAGGATCTGTCAAGTGTTCACTTAAAAAAAGACCCAAAACCGAAAAACAAAAAACCACAAACGTTAAGTGCATTTGATTTGCAAATATCATATACAAACAAATGGTGTAATTACTTGGGTTGAAGGAAACTAATAGGCTACTACATTTTTTTCCTTCTAATAGCAGGAAAAATATCATTATCCTGATATGATAGCATCCTTGCTAGATAGATACTAAGCCTAGACCTGAATGTTTTCAATGATAGTGATTACAAAACATGCCTTCCTAGACTGTCTTATTGCCTATTGGTAAAAATATTTTCTTAGTGTTTAATTTAAAAAATACTTTCCACATGAGACACTATTTCTTGTACTGTCACTGATTACTGATGAAATGAAAATGATTCCAGCCTGCTTTGTAACATTCCTTTACATTTTTGCGATAAGTAGTAGTTTTTCCTCTTCAGTTGTGTTATGCTTTGCACGAACATGCCCAGCCATCATTACCTTCTTTCAGCTATTATTTCCCTAAACTTTCCATCATTTTTTGTTGTTTGTTGAACTACATCCAGCTTATTTTAAACAGTGCATTATCTTCTGCACTATCTTTGAAGATAATCATGAAAATTCCACACCATTGACACCCTGGAGGAGACTTTACAAAGACAGACAAGGTTTATAACACAACAGCACATCGTTGCACATAAAAGGCACATGCCACCCAAGAAAGAGCTATATTTTTTTCATCTATAAAGATGTTAAAAAGCTGTATTTTACCCATTTTAAAGCTAGTGTGATAATTCTTGCACAAAGGAAGTATCCGAGTTAAATTTCATGGTGTCTTATAACACACTAGGACATAAACCAGAAAAATACATACAGGATTAAGTTTCCATAAAGCCCAAATGATCTGGCATATGAAATACGAGAAGGAATTTAATCCACTCCTATAATGTGGTCAGGGCACATGACTTCCACCCTGTCTCCATAGCTGCCTGCTACAGCCACGGAGCCAGAATAGCAACTCCGGCTCCTGCAGGCCACTCGCGTGGCTCTAGTGACCCATCACCTGGCCAGCTCCTGTGGCCAGGGCTGGCGATGTGGCAGGCTCCCGGCGCAGCTGTTCGGCGGCAGCATTCCTCATTCCCCCCGCGCAGCCGCGCTCCCTGGCTTCAGTGGCGCGCAGATGCCAGCACTCGGCCAGGTACCTTTAGAGCACAGGGTGACTGGTTTGAGTATACTCATCCTCCTGTTCTGAGTTATGTTCATTTGTAACTTGCCCCGAGAAGGTTTTTCAGTTTACCCCCAGCGCTGGTACCTGCCAGAGACAACACACCGAGGTGCAGGTTGCCTTGGTTTCCTTCACCCTGCAAACTCCCTCCTGATGGAAAACTATACTTTTCAGTTTTCTCTGTAATAGATAAAGTATAAAGCCTCTTTTCTGAGCAAACAGTTCAATTAAATTAGGAATTAATTTGTTTTAAATGTGAAATAAATTAATCCCTTTACTTAAAAGAAGACAATCTTGTAAGGCAGAAATATTATTTCTTCCTCCTTCTACAGAGGTAAGAAAAGACTTAAAAATTCTTAATCGAAAAAACTTTTAAGTCAGGAACTATTACTGAGCCACCGTGACATGTTTTTATAGTTAAAAACACAGTGTAACAAGAGTACAACGCACGCACAGAGTTGTAAGGTTTTTGGTCCTAATGCCTTTTCCTTGTCACATGACATTATCACGTTTAAGAGGAACTCATATAACAATCTTGCATGCAATTCAGTCTCCTCAAATTTTTTTCTTCTTTCAAATGTAGTGTACTTTACAGTCAATTTTTCATACTTTTAAATAGAGAAGTAGCCATAATTTTCCTTTATATCCATTCACAATGCAATTTAAAAGCTGTCCTATTTGTCAACTAGCAAAAGGTACAGTTGTGTTCCTGTTCTCAAACGTTATTACTCAAAGCACAAAAGCAAGCACATGATTCTACACTGACCTTCATCTGTTCCCAAATTATGTCTTTCAAAAGCCTTGAATCTGTTTAAGGGGAGTTGCTGAAACCTGAAACGAACTTGGTCTATTGCTTTATAAAGTAGATGAATGTAAAACTGAAGTATTACATTTCAGGCTTTTACTGTACTAAATATAGCAAAATTAGGATGAGGGAGAATATAACTGGAACACTAAGTCTAGTTTTAGAGAATAATTTTTTGTTACAGGCATCAATTATTGCAATACTTGATATGTTTCTATTTCTGACAGAAAATGACCATAAATTTGCAGAAGGAAAATGTTTTCCTGATCAGGTATTTATTTTTAAAAGCAGTGACCTTAAAAAAAAATTAAAACTCCTCCCCCTGCAAATCACACCACCACAAATTCCTAACTAGTTCTGACAGACCCATGTCTGAGAAACATCTTGAAATACATCTTGCATTTAAATTTTATTTTCTTGCACTCCGCTTAATTTTCATGAGGATACGTTTAACAGTGAGCAAAAACATCATCTGAGTAAACATGAAAAAAGCAAACAGTGCATAAAGTAACTTCAGAAAGCATTTTTTGCTGTGTGTCACTGCCTAACACAACAGGCCAGAACTATGTAACGCTTATGAGCACCACCTCAATAAATTTGTTAAATAATTACAATTGAAAACAGGTAATCAAGGGGTTTTATTTTTCTTCATTCATTTTTAGTAATCTTCACTGTTGTTTCTAACGACATAATGAAATGCTGCAAGGAGCTCTGGTAATGTTCATCTGCATGTTTCAAAGAAAGATTAACTTAAATGTAACTTCACAGGACAAGAATGATAATAAACACATTACTTTCCAATAGAAAAATGGCTTGTAAGTTGACAGATTTCTTGACAAATTTATAAATTTTTGACAGTTGTTAGACGGGAACTGTAACTTTCATTAAGTATTTAATCTACTTATAAAAATCATAGAACCCAGGTTGTAAGAAACTTTTGGAGATCATCTGATCCAACCTCCTGCTCAAAATAGGACTAACTTCTAAGTTTGGTCTGATTTCTTCTTCAGTCAAGGTTTGGATTTCTCCAAGGATGGAATTTCCTCAACCTGTCTGAGCAAAGTGTTCTAGGACTTAACTATTCTCTGTGGTTATGTCTTTGTGTCCTGGGTCTTCCTTAAGGTACAATTTAAACCTAAATATGGTAGGAAATGCTGCTGCTTTTGTCTATACTGACACTCAGTTGACTTTTGCCAATACAGGTTTTGAAGGCTTGCTTTACTAACAGTTCATTGTGTGGCCAGTAATAATTTTGCAAAAATTATTTTTTTCCTGTAACTGGCATAGAGGGATTGAGAGCAAGCAATTAAATGTTCAGCAGAAATTACAAACTGACTAAATCAGAGGTAGCTCCAAGCCTGATACCCTAGTTCTGAACAGTCATGGTCTTAAGAAAGCTCAGGAGCCATACACTGGTAGACTAAGGACCAGATCTGCAAACTAAGAAGAAAAAGAGGGGGAAAAAAAAAGTAGCATCTAATAAAAAAATCTGCAATTTCGGCTTGCGCTAGTGTCGCCCCAGCTTGCGTATGGTTAAATGATCTTGTCCTACTGCAATATACTGTGAGATTTTAAAAGGAGGTGACTCACACCTAAGGCAAGTGAAATGACTACTGCAGTCCTTATGTTTTTATCTTTGTATAATTTAATCAGCTGTTCATCTGAACAGTTGGAAAGGATAAATTTATACAAAAATAACTTCATTTCTCTTGCTAAATATTTTCCTGTATTAAGTCCATATTCTGGATATCTGTTGAATATCGACTTATATTGACCTCATTTGAAATAAGAACGAACACTGGTGCCCCAAAGGAACCTTGCACACAAGCTCTCAGTTCACTGTCATAGAGCAAGAAAGTCAGTGTTAAGCAAACGTTTACTTATGCTGATGAAAGAGGATGACAGATAAAGACATGAGTTAGGCTCAATGTCTATTTTTATATGATCAGCAGAGTATTTTTTTGTGTATTCAGTATAATTAGATTCATTATACACACCAATTATATGTAAATATATTTTATATATATATATATGTTTACTTTACAGATCCAGCATTCCAATGCATATGTTCAATTTAGGTAGACAGCCTTTATTAAAAAAATTTGGAGCATTTAACATTTTTACAGCATTTTCAGAAGTAAAATAAGTTTTCAGTACTTTTGAAAAAGGGGTCTTAATTATAGAAACTGATCTTAATCATGGAAAACACCTATAATCTTCCTGAAGAAGACATAAGCACTAGGAAATACTGACCAACAGGACATGTGTCCTGGAAACCCCTCCTCTTCTTCATTTTATCCTTCATTAAGAGTAATGAACCTCTAATAGCCCTCTAAGTATGAAGTCCTCTATACTCTTCAGCAACAAGACAATGTGACTTTTCCATATAGCTAGCATCACAGCTGTCCTGTTAAAACGCAGTAAAATGTAGGGCTTCAATGCATTATAAGGAGTTCTGCACCTGACTGATCTATCTGATAATTAGCTTCATATTCACAAATAGAACTTATGTAAAACCGTGGATTTCCTATACAGAAAGTTCACATTATTACCTTCGGTATCAGAAGTTGCATTCAATTTACTTGTGAAAGAGT